AATAGAAATCAGCAAATGAAAAAAATAGGAGTGCTAAACAGTGTGTTCGTTAGTTTAAAACAAAATGGAATGTCCGTCAAATTGACGTAAACTTCCCCATTTTTCACGGAAAAAGCAAAGGTCGTGGCCGAGTTGCAGGCTAAAAAACTCAAAAATCAAAACAAAATCATCAATCAGTAAGTATTATGACAAGGAAAACAAAACATCAGACGCGGAGAAGCGGTCAGCGCGTCAAAAGTTTGTATCTTCCCGACCCAGTGCAATATATCCGGTTAGAATCAAAGCTCACGTGTCCCTTATTTTTGGGACCAGATTCTGCCGTAAATTGTGCTATTAATCTTCAAGAAATTTAAAAAAAAATTTTTTTTTACTGAAAATGACAAAAATATTCACTAAAAATTGTGGGGCTATATGTGAATTCATGTAGTGGGGCTATAGTGAATTTCATGTAAATTCAGGTACTAAGGCTACATATGAAATCTTCTTTACCTTCAGCGGGGGGTACTGGAATTGCTGGTAGTTTTCTACCATTTCCTCTTTTCTGACTAGACGAGGAGGTAGACGATGACGACAATGATGACACTGATGGTGCTTTTTCCTCATTCCCTCCAATATAGAATTTCTGAATAAATAAAATGAAAAGAACATAAATAAATTATGTATTCTAACATGTGATCAATGTCACAAGCAATAGAGACTTTTATTTCAATCCCAGTAGAATAAAAAAAAAAAACTACACCAAAAGCTCCATCAGTTTGACTGCACTAGTAGTTTGGTCCATGCCCATCATTGAAAAAATAATTATCATATTTTCTCTATAAGCGCTGCATCTCTAATAGAAAGGTACAAAAACCAAAAATGTTATCCCGGATAATTAATTGTCTCAAATCAAAGGGTGTGTCATTAAAATCAAGTTATTTTACAAGATTGGGGATATGTTTTTTATGACCATATAATTCAGATTTATTTAAGGTTGCCTAAAAGAAACTTGTTCAATTTGTAGTTGATGCAAAAAGTGGATGATATCACGCCAGAAATAACACACTTGCATTGATTGACAACATGAAATTGTCGCTGAAACATCTTGTGAGATTGTGAGCTTGTAGCATTAATTTCCTTAAGGCCAAACAAAAAATTGTTTTGTTGCCCTCAGTGCCCGACCGAAAAATATGATATATCGGGTCGCGTTTTTTTTAATAGGCTAAACTCACCATTTTAAGCAGTAAAAAAGTGTTTCCTCTAAAAATTAAAGATCCCGGACCGTTGTTTGAACCTCAGAGTCCCTGTAAGTGGCGACTTTGAACCTCTGGTTGATCTGTATTTCTCCGACATGTTCCGAATACTATGAAGTATTGGCTATTTACGATATTCTTAGTTTTCAGGAATTTGAAAAAAAAAAAGAAAATCCGACCGACCGACCCAATTTATAAATTTTTCGACCTGAGGGCAACCAACATAAGTTTGTTTGTTTTTTGGTCTAATTTATTAATTTAAGTTTAGATCATAGCCAAAAATATAGATAGACAAGACTAGAAATCGAGCTATGATCATCAGCAGTATTAACATTGACTCAGCCATACAGATATCATAATTACTATTTCTTTAAATACAACTTTTTTCACACGAAAAAACACTGATCAATGAGAACTTATGTCCATTTTGTCCAAAAATTAAGAAATTCTAGTAAAATTTATCAAAAGTTACACGCAAAATGTTGGCAGAAAAACGTGGTTATAATAATAGGGGCCAAAACAAAAAAAATTTTATGGTCCATTTATATCAAGAAATCAATTCTGCGAGTGAATTTTTTTTCTGAAATGGAATTAAATTTATTATTTTTCCCAAAAACTAAATTTCTCTGATTTTCTTCTAAAATTCAGAAAAAAATGGAAAAAAAAAAATGAAGTTGTGATGCATACATCCTTAAGTGTGTAGTTATCAGAAACTAAAATCATGTCTATGAATTTCTCAAGCATGTTGTCAATTTGAGGATTCAGCAGACTGTTGAATTGACCAATCAGGGATTCGTAATTTTGACCAATCAAAAGTGACTTTAATTATCCAATCATTATTGAGATTAAGTTTCCCCATCACCATCTGAAGGTCATTTTCCCCTATATTAATCCATGTAAAATCTGTGTTTATCAGAAGTTTTGTTGCCTACATCTAATAAACATTGTTGTTTTTACACTACGATTGTGCCTGTTTTTGGTGACTGATGTCAATCTGCTTTCACACTTACCTTATCAGTCTTGGATTCATCTTTCAATATATTCAATATCTGTTTTGGTACGGGTTCACTGAATTCATCATCGTTGTCCAAAATATCCAATTTAACCATATCAGCCTTAAGTTGGGTTGTGACTGACTGACTCTTTGGGGAATACCTTTTGTGTTCAGCTGAAACAAACAAATTACCACTGTGGATTAAATTACAGATTCACATACTGAGAAGCACTCATAATTTAGTTACATATTAACCAAATTAAAGATGGTTGCTGCTTATACAACAAGAGTTCTGATTGGATACTCAATCTGGGAAAATATTTTTTAGGAAATGATTTTTTAGCACAGGCTTCTGGTATGTTAAGAATATTTTTTTAAACACTAAAGAGAAGTAAATTCTACTGATTAATATTTTTAAAAAGTGGGTATGAACAGAGAAAAACCAAACTACCAGTAAATGAGAAGAAGTATAAATTGTACCCGTTTTTTATTTATACGTGTGACAGTCTCATTTTTAAAATCATAATACAGTCTAAATTTCAAATAAAAGTCAACAAAATCAACTTACGTGTCATTTTGAATTTATCATTATTAAATCCAACATCCAAGATTTCAGTTTCAATCACGGATTTATTCGCAAAGTCGTTGGTATCGTACAAGATGTCTTCACTTTGAAAATTATCAAGACTGATATCATGAATTAATCTGAAAATTGAAAAAAAAAAAAAAATAATAAAAGCTAAAATTTTTATTATTTCACACAAGTATACGTTGACACAATGTGACCTTCAAGAGAGTGGAGCAGAATGGTCTTTAAATAACTTTACATATGAATAATATGATAATATGAGGTTATTACGAGAATACCTCGAAGAATGCACGAAGACAGTACAGCTGGAGTATCGACCGACGCGCACTGTCTGAGTGCATACTTTGAGGTATTTTCGTAATAACCTTATTAATGTACATCTTTTCCTTCCAATGATACATCATGGGAATGCCGAAATCCAAAAACTTTAGAACAGAATCAGCGAACTTCTGTGTGGAGTCCGATCAAACCCTGATGGCAGCCATGTTTGTTTTTATTATTAGAGGACGCTTACGTGCATAATCATTCCATATTTGGAATTCGCATTTCCATATATGGTAGGATGAAAATACCCTGTAAAATACCGCAAAATTACAGCACACTGTAACTTATGGTGTTACGGTGACAGATGTATAATAATAAGACATATGCATGCCCTTCAAAAGGTAACATCCTGGTCTCTTTTGGGTACAAACTTAGTATAAATTACAATTTATTATTATTATTTATTAAGCATCAATGAATTATCAATGACAAAATTCTTGAATGAGCTTTAATTATATAAACAAGTATTATGTAACAGAATAAATGAGTTTCGAAAGGTATTCTAAAAACTACAGTAAATTTCAGAAAGCCATGAATGTTCAAAAAAAGGTTGAAATCAACTTGACCAATCAGAATGCCCTAAATGAATATCACGTATATAAAATTCCAAAATGTTCAGTATAATTTCCAAGCTAATTATAATGAATTTGTTTTACGTACTGTCTCTACTATTTGAAATAAACGTCTCTGAATGATTGATTTGAGGAGTTTTTAATGTTTCACGTAAATCCACCACGATTGAGTAAAAAGCACAAAAAATTGTGGGAAAGGCTTTTCTGATGAAAACTTCTGATTGGAATTTGTGAGAATTAATCTTTAATCACATTAGGAGTGCATTCAATTAGGATTCGACCATTTGAAATCATGGGGGTGGTTGGAAGATTTGTTTAAAAGAAATTACAAGTTGGACACAAAGAGAAAAAAAAATTGCATGCGAAGTGTTGCTGGAAAAAGAAGTTTGCACATTCGAAAAATGTACAGATAAGACAACGTGAAAACAAATTTGCATCGGTCACACACATTCAGCCACCCCCCCATGATTTCAAATGTTTGATCCCTTATCTAGTCGGAGTTCCCCTAACTATACCAGTGCCGTAAAACAGACAGTAAAACTTTGAAATTGAAATACTAACAACAAAAAATTAATTTCAGGATATGATATTAAAAGCAATGTTGAAAAAAGAGGGACATCAAAAACATTTTCAAAAAAAGTTAAAAAAAAAAGAATATACAAAATGTATATATATACAATGTATATATATATAAACTACATTAAGTTTGTTAAGTTGAGTGGAATGTAGATTATATATCGGCATCTGATTACAAGATGATTGACAACAAAATCTTGTCACTCGTTTGTAATTTTGTTTGGAACTTTAAAAGTGACTGAACCAAATGTTAGAACACAGCTGCTTTACACACACCTGTACTGTTCCATCTGTACTACAGTCACTATTCTATCAGTCTCATGAATATACTAAATACTTTGCTGCATGCAATTCTAATAATATTTTATATAAAAAACAAAACATTCATGCCTACATGGAATTCATTGTATTAGATAATATTTAAGTTTTTTTTTTTTTTTACACCCAACATATTATTATCAATAGATGACTTATGAAATACGTAATCATACATGTTTCTGACAGTAAATATTGTAACTCCATTATCACCAGTTTTATATTTGATTGTGAGCAGGCTTCTATTTCAACACTAATTTCAAATCTACTTTCAAATTATACTTTATATGTTTATACTTAACAGTCGCAATAAATGGAAACACTAATAAATAGAATTAATTTCTCAAAATGTGTTTACTCGGATCTATTCAGTTAATAATTTAATTTATTAATTAATGATGAATGCAAAATAACAGAAGGCAGTTCACAATATCCCCGGTATATTCATTCAAACACATGCACATACTTAATGTAGAGACTGCCATTTTTAAAAGCCAAACGGGAGAAGCAACGAAAATCCTCTTCAGTTTGTGAAAATATCGCATAATTTGGAAAAAAATCAATAACACATGTTTATTATTTTCCCCTATCTCATGGCAAAGTGTAATCTTGTTCATTATATGCATTAATTAAGTTCAAAGATACTAGTTTCAGTCCACCTTGCCGGGGGCGTCAGCTGTAACGCTGTATAATGTGTGTTTATTTATCAGGGACGCGCCATAAACAAATATAATAGACAAGTCCGAGTCGATCGGTTGATATTACAATGGCGATGAGCCACATATAAAAATAAAACAAGATTCGGAGAAAATTACTGAAAGCTCGTGGTACAAATTATTTCATTCTGATACGAAGAGAAAAAAAAACTCGCCTACCTATATGAATTGATATCGGAATTATATTTGCCATCCGCCATTTTGAATATTATGGCATAAAACAAAGCGGAGATCCCCACGGTTAGGAATATTGCCGATGATTGATGAAACCGTTCAGTGAAATATATAATGTTCCTGGGAGTCCTGTGACCGCCGTGACAGACAAATTAACTAAACCATTAGGAACCTCTTTGGAGCTATCACATCAGATCATGCTCCCGACGTATTGCAGTTCTGTGATCGAAAGTGATCTAAGCCCCCAACGTCAACATCCGGAGAGGAATGCCGCTCTGCGAATATGAGAAATCATACAGGTTGTTGAACTGATGTCGGGGACGCATAAAAGGGATTTGCAATGGAGGGAAGGGGTGCCTGGCGCCGTTTCAAGTTAGGCACGTTTTGTTGATAATATTCACATTAGACAATAAATATTAACTCGTTGTACGTGTCCAACATATCCTAGACCCGTATTTAACAATGTTGGCAGTACAGACTGTAAAATTATATACAAAATATAAGTTTCCGGTGAAATTGAAATTGCATTTTGATCACAAGTAGGTGAAGTTTTTGGCGTTTGCTGGAGTGGGGTGAGCGCTACTATTCTGGAAAAATAATGATAGTGATGTTCCGCCGTTACTGAGTCCCATACGTCTTACAAGAAAGACAGAAAAGGGAACCCCTCTTCGGAACAGTTTGCCATGAATGAATACCCCTTCTCATACTTGGATCATGAATTACGTGAGCGGGTTTCTGCCAGAATTAACGAGCGTTATGATTTGAACGATGCTTTTACGCGATTTTTGATTTTTATATTTATGATTTTAGTATGTTAAAACTATATAACCCTTTCCAGATATATTTACTCAAAAATTGCCCGTCTCATTGCCGGCCTATGTTTGTTACAATATTTTCTTATTGGGTAACTGAACACAAATGAGCCGAGTCGGAGAATTTTCAATAAGCGGTGTGTAACGCAAGACTCAAAGAACGTAAGTACTCGATGATAAACAAAGTGTTCCCAATGTTTATATGGAAACGAAATGCTGGGTACACATATTACGTACGGTAACCGAATGATGAAAATGACATTGCACGCTACCTCAATAACATACTGGTAGCATTACGACTGTCGTGAATTGGACCAATGTACGTTTTAGACGTATTATGGAGATATGCATACGTTATGACGTCATCGTGACATGGGACTCATGATATCGACAACAGTACAGATATAACAAATTGATAACTTGCCTTGATAGTCTATTCACCAGCACTGGCAGTGTTCATTGCCCCCCCCCCTCCCCAATTAGAACAACTTAACCGGCACTGTTGTACAAATTTGACAAACCGCCCGTATCACGGGTTTACATATCGTATTCACTTTACCATTATTTGTTTTCTTTCGTATGCGGAAGTGTCCCGAGAAATGAATTCGAAAATATTGCTAAATTTTGGTAGTTCGCTTTGATCACGGTGTTTACGTAACCGTGCGTTGATGGACTCGTCTTACTCTCCTTCAAAAGTGGCAACAAAAATTGAAGGGGAACATGTTTTAAAAAATGAGAAAATTCTGTATAAGTTAAAACACACTTGTTTATTCGCTTTCATGTAATATGTACATTATTAATTTCAATAGTACGCAGTGTTTTGTTTTTTTAATTTTGTAAAAAAATGTAAATACAAAGAATTTTTTTTAGTAAAATACGTACGTAGACTTATCAAATCAATATATCTATCACGTGATGGACTGGGCAGCTTACAAACATACACAGTATTACTTATATATAACACATGGCTTACGTCATGACTAAGATCACGTGACCAGTAAAACGCATACACTTATATACATTACGTAACCACCAAACATTAAAAAAAACACGTACATCTCGTATTTTGTTATTGAGCAATCAATATACAATAATTACGATTAGAAGATGAAGTCAAACACAGGGGGAAATTTACATCTTTGTGCAAAGCCTGATCAAAGGTATCCATGGGAACAGGCTAAGATTAAGGCAACGTTTCAGTAAATTTGAAAGATATACCCATTGGTAACTGCCATAGATCAATTGAACGTCAATATGATAATTTGGAGATTGGCGATTCGACTTGCATATCCACACTTATTTCGTATGTAATTTTGCTATGCCACTGGCTGGCAGAGGACATAGGCTTTGCTATTCTCGATAATTTAAATTCAAACTAAACTCTACTCCAATGCACTGATTTCGTTAAAAAAAACAAGACAACTCGTAAGTATATCACTCGTACTCTGGTGTCTGGTATAACAATGATGAGATTATGAGAAGTGAGAAGATTGTTGCTGCCCAGGTTGCTCAAATATGAAAAGCGCCCTCGTCGGTAATATGTCTCTTCACATAAATTTAAGACACGTGGGTGGCGTCAAGAATCATATGCTGGAGCACAGTCCCTCTATCACTGTGGCTGGAGATTGCCTGGCGACGACTTTCAGTGCGTGTTTCAGCGAAGTACGCCACGCAATAAATTATGGGTATGCCAAATTGCAAATTACGAAGAAATGAGCATTAGTAAAAATGTGGATCATCTCCAAAAACAATCTGAATTATTTTCCGCGTAAACATGGGTTTAAAAACACTGACATGGCGTGTTTGCACTCATATTTCAGTCTTGTAGCACCGTACACTCAGCTATTCATGTCATTTTCATCGGTGCTGGATCTTCCATTCGCCTATGTGTCCCACTGAAATGAAAAATACAATACACATTAAATAAATAAGTATAACTTACTGTCGGAGATTTTAACAAGTCAGACAGATACAGAAAGTCGATTTATGTCAGTTGTGGAGGGGAATTGAATGATCTTAGAGTTTTTGGTTGCCGGCTTTCAAGTACGTTACCTACTGTATTTTACTTGAGCGAGCACGCCTTCTACTCAACTGGTACTCATAACAACTAGTCGACCATACACATACCTGAGATTCGTAGACAGGGTTCTTTAATGAAAACTTCGACCAGGAACCGTAGTCCTCATCACGAAGTCTGCCATACCTCTCAATGTATTTCCTATACAAAATTACAAAATGAATCATTTAAATTTCCGACATGCGTTTTTTTTTCTTCTCATTCATAGAACCACGGTACGCACATGCGCACAATTCAGCTTACTAGTTTACGCTCTAAGCACAATATAAATGTATAGCGATTATTGACACCCCACCTTTAGCGGACAGCCACTCTTAGTATGATACATGTAAATTAAATTGCACAGCATATTCACATAACTTACAAACATTTAGACTTATCTACAACCGATCGATAATTATTAAAATTTAACTTGCACAACTCTAAGATGAAATGTTTTTATTTAGCACATTAAACATGTTAAAGAGGTCGCAATACGAGTAACGCCAGGAGCATTTTAATCATCTTTAACACGTGCCTCGACTCATTCAAAGTTCTAACTAAACTCATTTATTATATATTATTTTTAGTTCGCCCACCAAGATTTCAAAATAATCGCCTAAACTGAAAGTATATATGGGCCTGCTCAGCTCATCTCTGCGAGTGAGTTTGCACAACAGTTTTCTAGTAACTAACACATCTTTGGAGCGGGTACAGGTGAACCTACCTTTTCCGTAAATATACCATGACGCCACCAGCGGCCACCAGAACAAGCAGCAACACCACCACGATAACTGCTATGATTGTACTGGCTGGCATACCGCCCCCATCGTCTGAAACTGAATCTGTCGTGAGTGCTTCTCGGGTCGGTGCATCAGTGGTTTGTGAATACGAGGTGTTCTTGGCAGCCGTAGGGCGTGAAAGTGGAGCAGAATTTGTTGGTTTTGTAGTGCCCGGAGGAGGAGCAGCAGTGGTTTTCTGTTTTGTAGTGACTGGGGGCGCAGCAGTTTTCTGTTTTGTAGTGACCGGAGCAGCAGTGGGGTTCTGTTTTGTAGTGACTGGGGGCGCAGCAGTTTTCGGTTTTGTAGTGACCGGAGCAGCAGTGGTTTTCTGTTTTGTAGTGACTGGGGGCGCAGCAGTTTTCTGTTTTGTAGTGACCGGAGCAGCAGTGGTGTTCTGTTTTGTAGTGACTGGGGGCGCAGCAGTTTTCTGTTTTGTAGTGACCGGAGCAGCAGTGGTGTTCTGTTTTGTAGTGACCGGAGCAGCAGTGGTGTTCTGTTTTGTAGTGACTGGGGGCGCAGCAGTGGTGTTCTGTTTTGTAGTGACCGGAGCAGCAGTGGTGTTCGGTTTTGTAGTGACTGGGGGCGCATCAGTGGTTTTCTGTTTTGTAGTGACCGGAGGAGGAGCAGCAGTGGTTTTCTGTTCAATAGTAGTGATGTCCGTTGCGTCATCAGTTGTTGCTTCCGGTGTGATGTCGGTAGTGGCCAAATCAGTATTCGTTGTAACGACTGACGGATCGGGAGCGGTAACAATTCCTGAAAATATAAATAATGTTATATTAGAATTCGTTATCAAGAACAATACACTTATATACGATTTTCCCAGCCAGTGTCACCCAGGAATATTTCTAGATACTATAATAATACAGTCATTATAAAAACCCAACCAAATAAGTCGAAGATAGAAAGAAATACCTAATTTTTTATGACGATGTCAAAATGAATCTGAAGGTAATGCCGTTCAAATCGACAAGTTTATTTGGTTGTGTATGCATTTGTCATAATCTACAATACAGTCACATCTTTCAAAAACGTGTTCAAAACAGATCAAAACGAAGTCAACGCTTTAAGTGACATTTGTGTCGGTCATTTACGTCGCAACAGCGTGCTGTCACTAGGGGCGCGACATATAGGAATGTTGTATTCAGATTGTCACATTGGATGTAGCCCAAAGCAGCATAACACCGTCGATGCATATATTCATATACGAGTGATTACGACACCCTTAATTGTATTCTTGTCAAAAGGTTCAAATAATTTTAATAATATTTTATTAATAGGTCAGCGGCCTTAGTGTACACATTAGATAATACCAAGAGCGCCAAATCTAATTAGAACATAAGTAGCGTTCATGCACAGCTCCTTAGCACAAGCTAAGAAGTTAAATATCATAGCCCGTGCTAAGAAAACGTGCGCGAACGCCTGGCACGGGCTAAGAAGTGCTAAGAACGGATTCAATCTAGCCCGTTTGTAAGACCCGGTCCAGACCCTTGTACGGGCTAACCTCGGAAAAACTAATTTAGTTGTCCGAGGGCTAACAAAACGTGCGTGAACGCTTAGCTCGGGCACAGTCCCTCTATCTATGACTGTGGCTCGGGCTAAGCGCCCGAAACTTGGACGCCATTGTATTCTATGTTTATTCACGGTTACTATCCATAGATTTACTAATATATTCATAACTATTCATTTCGGTATGTCATTTCCGATATGAAGATCAATGCGAACACACATAGAGAAATTATTCTTCAGAAAAAATGAACTGACGACGAGGCTCTGTGCTACTTCCTGTTTTTATGCAATCTGTACTTTCTGAATTTGCTTTGGTATTGTGTTAAAATCGTGGAACTAACATGTATACCTTCATCGTTAATGTACTGGGTAATCAGAGTTAAAATGACTGAAGATTTCTGTATATTCTTAACAAGTTTGGGCGTTCCTTAGCCCGTCATAACCACTGTTTCCTCCCGCGCACATGAGCGCAACCGGGGAGCGCAATTGGGTCTATATGCAAACATATTAGATAAGCTTAAATCTTAGCCCGCACTGCGGGTAGCGTGAACACTAATATTATTATTAATTGTAATCGTGGTCGTAAATTGTACTTTATTTACATAATAATAACTAGAAAACAACCGTACTCATGTACATGGGAGTGAACTGAATTTCATCTTCCGAATCGCGCGGTTTCGTGAGCTCGGTGTAAACGAAGAGAGAGGTAGTGGTGAGTTGCGCCCTCCGCGGTGCTCCAAACTCAACACACAGAAGTGTCTGATGCCGTTCGGTCGGCGAGGGCACCACTCACGCCTACATGTCAGGCTGGCAAAGATGACTGAATATGTGTGTAATATGAGATTCGAATTAGGTCCTTATTTACAATGTGTGTGAATGTGAAACGGCAGTAAATTGTACCCAATCTCACGTAAATAACACTTTTTACAAAAATTTTAATTTGTACGTGAGAACGACAGGGGAAACGGCTGTACTCGCGTACGTAAGAATGGACTAAATTGGACCCAATCTCAAGTAAATAAAAGAGTGTTTTATATTCTACACGAGAATGGCGGGAAACAGCCGTACGCATGTACATAGAAATACGCTAGCATCAATGTCACATCGGGTGAGGTCGATTTCAGGCCAAACTCGCGTATGAGTAAGAACTATACGTGGGGACAGACTGTGAGACAGAATGTCGTAGTTGAAATACCCGGGACACACATATGCCACATTTTCGGGATGTTAACGACATAAAGTAATTGTTGTTAAATGCACCATTATGTGGGGTTTACTTCAAACAAAACTGTTTCGTTTAATTTAATTTATGAATAATATACAATGTATAAGCTTTGTTATAGTTTCCCTTTTATACATTTCATATTTTTTTCTGTTAAATTTGTATATTACAGGTACAATAAGAACAAGAAAACTAAATGGCAAACTGGGTAGTGCTTTCTCAAAATTCCGTGATGCATTGAAAATGCCAGATACTATCGCTTCCTTTTAATAAACAAAAATGAAATCCACTACCATGGTGACACCTACTGTATACATCCAATATCTCATGGTTAGTTATTTACTGTGTGTGCTATAAACCTCGGTCACTAAAAGAAAATCATGATTAAACAAGGCCAACACGTATAATACATGGGAATATTTACATACACTGTGACAGTGTGTATCGGATACTCCATCGGTGCGGAGTTGACTCACATGGTTCTGAATATGTGCACTGAATTCAATACAGAGTTTATTTTAATGAGGGTCTCACCACGTGTTTTTGGGCCCCAATGAATACAATGTGTATGGCTAAAACCATGTACGCAATTAAATTCATTCATAAAAATAAAGGCTGAATAATTACAAAACTATTACAAATGGAACTTTTTTTATGGAAAATAGTTCATATAATTACTGAAAATGATTTTTTAACCCCACCCTTTCCCACATCTGATTGAAAATTACGTCTTCTCTGATGAAAATTTTCCCCCGAGTAATGCTGCCAACGTAGAGTAAATGATTACCGAAAAATGCGGGAGTTTCAAGAAAAAAAATATATCGGTTATATTTTGCATACTTTGAGAGTACTGGTGTCTATCTGGATCGTTTTATTTATATCCCCATAATACTAGTACACAGTTTCGATAAGTCGCGCCCGCTAGTGACGGGCGCTTTTGTGACGTCAAATGACGTATACAGGTTATGGCGATGTCATTCAAATCAACACATGTGTTTTATTGTGTAGTAGTTCGTCATCTAGAATGACGTAATTCTTTTAAAAGTACACTACACTTTCAGTTTTTGTATGTGTATGTGTATATAAATTGAGAAATTGAAGGTCGCCTGATATGCCGAAAATCGCCTGGTGGAGATACATGTTTCAACTTGTGGTTGCGCAACGACTCGTATACTATGGCAACATAGGTAAATAAATCGTCCGATGCAGATAAATTGCCCCATATTTGTCCCGTACATTCATAGCACTGTCAGAGGCTTTCGAGAACAGGCAAGCACTTGCAAAATTGTCGCAATACATGCATTTATTATCTGTGTACCTCATTCGGCAAGGCATGTTGGCAAATGCACATAAAGGCGCGCGTGCGCAATTGCATGTTGTTGAGATTCATGTAAAATATTAACTAAAGGGTGTAACATAGAGGAACCTAATTAATATATGAAATTCTCATTCCATGTATTAAGCAAACGAACGAGGATAAAATACGTGTTCCCCTAATAAAACAAAGGGACAAGAGCTTACTAGAAAGCAAACGACTTCCAACGTGCCGCAATATGTGTTTAGAATTAAACTGTTTTAATTTATAATAACGGGCAAACCAAGTTGTAATTTACAATAATCATGTTCCCAATTCTCACATATAGCCCCCCGAATTCGATGAAAAAGAGATGCCATTTTCGAAAATGTCCGCGCTATGGCCCTTTTCATTCCGATTTTAAAAGTAAGTTTGTTGTTAGATTTAGACTCACGCATGACCCTCTCTATAATAATGTTATTTCATGCCGCGTTTTAATGTCCTTTTTATTATTAAAATGTTGCATTTATGACAGAGTGTGCTCACACATACACGTACTTTGATTTCCTTGTAATATCTATAAATAGACGCGCTAGATGTGTGCAACAAGTCTATGAATTCAATGACCCTAATCGTTGGCGTGCAACTGCCATTGAGGAAACGAAAGAAAAAAAAACACACGTCGTCAATTCTGCTTGAATCAATGAAATTAGAATGCACGTACACGGCAACTGAGACGGCTTTTGGTGAAGGTCATAGGTACTGTGATTTATTGCTGCTTGTGACTTTACGCCATTCTTTAAATATCCAAATAGATGACCTCAATTCTGTCAAATCTTAGACAAAGACTAATGGCGTTGTTTTTTTGATCCACAAAAAAAGCGTTGAGGTGTTATGTTGTTCGATTGTCTTGCTTAATACATTATAGTATACCGTCATCGTCACAAACTGAACTCACATTAACTAGCAACAGCGAAAGAGACAATATTAGCGTTACATACCTGAAACGAATAAGGAAATCATACACAGCACCAGCACGACGACCGTCTTCGTAACCGCCATGTTGATTTCCGTGTCGTAACACTCAGATCGTTTAGTATGTCCTTTTATCTACTAGTCTTGTACAGCAGGCGCTCGACTATATGCAAATGGAGACATGTGACGTAGACACGCCCCGCGTGTACCTGGTGACATTTGAGATAATGGTCACGATGTGTTGAGTGTTGTAGTCCAATACGGGCTATGAGTTGTGTCGGCACTGTCGGTCAGCTGACAGCGGACATTCCATTGTCACCTGGAAACAAAATACGTATATACACAGTGAACGCTTAATGTCCCAGAATGCCATTCTTTCGGTTCTGTGTGGCATTGTGAAGTTTTGTGACGCCGAGGCGGATTATATTCGCAATAAATGTTTTTTCAGCGGTTTTCAATTTTGCAATCACGTGACTTTGTGTTTTTGTTTCTGACGCATTTTAACTTGGAAGATTAGGAGCGAAACCACGCCAACATCGTCATAGCTCCCTAGAATTTAAACGCAATCAAATACTGTGTACTGATGTGCCAATACTAGGAATTGTGACGTCACCTTAATGTTTAGTAGCTCGTAAATCTACAATAATTATGAGTTATAAGAAAATGATTCTGATTGATAAATCAATAATATAATATACGTATCAATAGTTAACGTACTATATATCATCGGTTAATTTGTACATTGTAACTGAAGTGTCAATAATCAATAATTTATATATTGATTGATTAACTATTTATTGGAAACCCCATGGAAGTGCCATTGGCAGACCCATTAGATTAGAGATAACCCTACTCATTACGATAAGAAGACTGGACTTTGAGTTATGTGTCATGCACAGAGGACAGGAACAGTATACGAGACCGATAGAACGTCATTCTCTCGACTAATTGGTGATTTTCCGTACAATAGCGAGATCTCGCGAGATGCATGAAAGACGTGCGTCGAACGTCTGCCGCAAATATCGAACGATTTGATTTTGAACTAGAATTTCTTTATTTCGTAGCTTACATTGACCGGCCGATCTTCGACAGAGGAATATTGCTTCCGAATACCCTTACTTAATCGAAATTGCCTATCATCAAATGTGGACAGCACATTATTAAGCATGGAAATGTCCCCGAAATACTTTCGCGTTTGTCGAATCCCACGCGATGTTTGACGCGACTACGACGCTATGACCTTTGTTTGTAAGCAAATAACACCGAATAAACGGCAAGGTAAAGACTATGTCTAATTATAGTAAATACGTACTGCGTGCGTGACTCGAACCGGCGCTCGCGTACGGCACCTAATCACCTAGCTTCACGCTACTACACGTCTTCCCCTCGGCCACCGGGCATCCCCAATAAAAGGATGCTTAATAACCGATTTGGATTAATTTGTTAATTTGTTTGTTTGTCCTGTTTTTACGTTCGATTTCACGCATAACGCGTGATTCTCGCAGTGAACGGAAAATGGTCTATTGCAGCGGCCTGACAAGTATGCAGAATGTTCGCGTTCGCTGCTGAATCAGTGAGCACAAATTAGGGATTGTATTATCACTTGCATATGATAATTGTCCGTAATTATATGAGTGTAATGATAATAATGGGCCGGTGGCGCAGACACGACAGAATGGTCTGGTGACGCAGACTCAGACACGACGTGTTTAGTGTGACAGGTCTACAGGCTTACCCCCGTTCAGGCACCGATAATCAAGAAATATACAAACACGCCACGACGGGCAACAAGGACACATAGACCAAAACGTACATCTATAAGCTACGCTGAATGTTTTTAAGAATTTCCGTCTGTAAACTGGTAATTGTGTTTACATGCACCATGCGACATGTAAAATATACAACATCTGGTCACAATTATGACAATAATGGCGTGTTTATTCTAACAATGAAAATACGTACTGTGCCGTGTATATTGGTTTCTTTAGTTGCCTAAATGAATAAGTACAATTTCTATAGACCACTTTTCCGGAAGTAGCGAGACTGGGGTGCAAAAATACTCCTGCTTTGTTATAGCTAAAAATAAAAATAGTTGCTGATAGTCGATAGAAGGGAATTTTATTTTTGTGACTGTGAATGGTACACCAAGAAGCATAATATCACCCATGCAAGTTTACGTTACACCCCAAAACAACATGCGAGCGCATGCGAAACGCCATATCTTCGACTTCCTGGAAAGTCGTCTATACTCACACCCAGCAATTATTCTCCCAGCGCTGTTTAGAACATTTTAGTGTGTAAACTTTAATACAATTCAAGTACATTATTGTTTCTGGAATTACCGTCATTTAGACGTCACATAATATACTGATGATCATGCACAGTATTCCAATATGAGGATTATTGTGCAGAAATTCAATCAATTTATAAGACGATCTAAGCATACATACACGTCACGGTTGAAATGTATGAAAAGTACGAGTAATGACATTAACCATACAAAATGGCATGTGATTAGTTTCAAGCCGCCTAGTAGAATACTTGACAGCTCAATAGTCTGAACAATGAATTTTCTCTTCAGTTTATTTCCATAATTACCGTCATTTGGATTTAGAGACTACCACGATCAATTCTCGGTGCTCATCACGTGCACATGATCCCGGGTATGTTCAAGCGTGTCTTTCGTTAACTGGAGAGAAATACGTTGATAGAGAGCGCATATGTCTGCTGCATTTACAGTAGACCGGCCTATGCCACACCATATACCTTCCATGGCCACACCAACTCCATCGTCCGAATCGCACAGTTTCGCTAAACCCGGCCATTCATAACCGGCCCACGACCCCTTGCATGAGCGTGTTAGGTAAAACTGTATTTCACCGCAGTTAAATTGAGTCATTTGATTGGGCGCGCCAAGGAACTGGCGCTACCAATCAGCGTTGCTGTATCATAAATTTGAAGACAATTTGATTCACCGGGAGTCAAGAACAGAAGCCGGGGGGGGGGGGCTACTTCCACATCAAGTGGGTAAGGGTGTGAAGCCCACCTCTCGAAAACCATACTCACTTCTAAACCATTTTTTTCTATGTATATACCCACTTCTAATCACAAGTGTTTTCAGCGAAAAAAAAATACACCCAGCTCACAACTTTCGCAACCAGTGAGCGCATCAGGGCAATGCATTTTATTCAGCCTTTTCCAGTATTTGGCTTTGAATATAAGGATCTGTGAAAAAGTATATAAATGCTACACATTTCTAAACCAAACCATTGATAAATGGCTACCCACTTCTAAACAAAATAACGTGAAATGACACCCCAGTCGGGCGGCACATACCCGTATTGCACTTCTATGGAAGTAGCCCCCCCCCCGGGAACAGAAGGTCTATTTTCGTCGACACTTTCCAATTTTTGTTATTCCAACGTTGAAAATTGTTTGTGGACAAGTGAATGAAAACTATGGAATGTTTAAATATTTGTGCAAACCGTGTTTTAGTAAACTGACAAAACTGACGAGACTGATAACATATCGACTTGCCGATCCGTTCTTCGTTGCAACCATGGACGTACTAGAGATGGACGCTGCACGGTGTTCACTCGCTTTGATGTATTAATAATAATAATAATAATAATAATAATAATAATAATAATAATAATAATAATAATAATAATAATAATAATAATAATAATAATAATAATAATAATAATAGTCTTAATTGAAGTCGTATCCTAAAAATGGACATAGATCTAAGTACAATAAAGCATGGTTGTCATTCCATGTCAGAAACATTCAGAATAAAAAAAAAGATACACTAGTATAAAAAAAACTAAACTAAACAAAACTAAAACAACAAACTTTCCCGAAAGTGGGATAGAGAGACTGTGGTTAGATGTATGTGCGTTGCCGCCACCAGATTACTGTTAATCCAGATTGTGTCTGCATAATTTCCTGTCCACAGGAAACGACCACGAACATGCCCGATTAGTACGTCCATGTTGCAACTAACAAATTGTTTCCCTTAGAAACAGCACTAAGTTTTTTCTTTTGATGGTCAGTAAGCTCGTCCACAGAGAAAAAGCTAGCAACACGTTGATTTCTATATTCAACTGAACTAGTGCCACGATTTTACCAAGTAATATGTCGTTTCTATCGCGAGTTCTGATTGGGTAAATGTGCCCAAGTGAATTTTATTCTAAGTAATCGTTTGAGGGCGTGCGACATACAATTTCAACTGTTTAGATTCAATGTATGATGAT